CAGACGGGCACGACATGATTATGGTAGTGGTGGACCGATTGACGAAATATTCATATATGATACCAACAACAGAAACCATCGACGCAAACACCATGGCTTTCCTGTTATTCAGATACATATTCGCCAACCACGGAACACCCCAGAAGATAACATCAGACAGAGACAAGCTCTTCACGAGCAAGATGTGGCAATCATTCGCGGATATGGTAGGCATTGAGCATAGACTCTCCACCGCCTATCACCCACGAACGAATGGCCAAACGGAAAGAACCAACCAGACCTTGGAACAGTACCTAAGGCACTACGTGAACTACCAGCAAGATGACTGGGCAGGACTGTTGCCACTGGCACAATTCGCGTACAACAACAGTATGCACACAACCACTAAGGAAACACCATTCTTCGCAAACTGTGGGTACAATCCCTCGATCGTTGGCGAAGCAATCGGAAAAAAGACAGAAGCAGAGTCATCAAGACTACTAGCTTCACAACTCAAGCAACTGCACCTCCAGTTAGCTAGAGATATCGAATTTTTCAACCTACGGATGAAACACTACCACGACAAATCCCGCCAGAAGGGACCAGACTTCAAAAAGGGGGAGAAAGTGTACCTCCTACGTCGGAACATCAAAACCAAGCGACCGAGCTCGAAGCTCGACCACCTAAAACTGGGACCTTTCGAGATTGAAGAAAAAACAGGACCGGTCAATTATCGCTTGAAGCTACCAGACAGCATGCGACGCATCCATGCAACATTTCATATCTCGTTACTCGAAACCGCACCAGAAAACGCTGAACTCGCTACAAATGTGGAAATAGAGGAGGAAAACGAAAACGAATATGAAGTAGAGGAAATTCTAAACATGAAACGCGTCAGCGGAAAACCTCACTACCTGGTAAAATGGAAGGGGTACGATACCTCGGAAAACACATGGGAGCCTACCGAGAACCTGACGGACTGCCGCCAGCTGGTTCAACGGTTCCACCAGGAGACTGGCCAAAAACACCATCAAGGGAAGAGACGTCCGGGACGGCCCAGAAAGCATCCGGCATCTGGTCCATCGACGCCACCAACCTCGTCAGACTCGAGTCTGACGTAGCGGCCAACTGACGAATCTCTTGCTGCTCGGCCAAACGGTCGAACTCGGACAGTTCAGCAAGAAGAAGGAGGATCGTCCTCGTTGAGACGATCCGACACTACCGAGTCGTGATCCAACATCCGACCACCACGATCTTTAAGAAATTGTTGATGCTTTTGCAAGCGAAGTATCTTCGCCATCGCTTCGTTCATCTTTTGGGAATACTGAAGAAATTGCTTTTGGGCCTCCGTGAGGTCCGCCGACACCTTCTGCTCCTCCCGCTGCAGGTCATCCCACTCCTTGTCGGTATGGAAGCTCCGTTCGCACACCTGGCCTCGACGGGCGCAGGTAGAACACTTCTTACTGTTCGCATAAGGACTCATAATGCAACACTTGCCGCGAACCAGGCAATAATCACAAGGGGATGACGTGGGGCGACCAGACTGTTCGATTCTAAGGGCAAGACGATTGTTGTCAGCGTACTTGTTACGTTTCGGTTTTTGAACAGCGGGTTTAGGCATGGTGAACCATGACGGGAAAATTAAAAATCAAAGGGACCGACACTTACCTGAGGGGGGTGAGCGGTTATAAGGGATTCTCGAGGACGAGAACCAAGGAGAGGGGGAGATGATGTTACGGACCCTGCGACACGAGGGGCCGCGACCTACAGATGGGCCACCGAGAGCCAACCGTTCCTAGGAAAAGAACGCAGAACCGGATCACGTGACCAACGGCCAGAATCAGCCTCTGATTCGCCGTGTCAAACAATACTGCACTAAACCACGAGACGGCTAGCGCGACGCAAGAACAAGCGTTCTTTCTACCGTCACCAACTTTACGCCAGAAGTACAAGTACCCGGTAAGACCACGTGACCTTGGGTATACCAGTGGGTATACCAACGGGTAGATGGGAGGGTCGATTCTGGTATACCACCAGACATACCCTCCAACATACCACACCACGGAGGATTAGGTATATAGGGACGCTCGTCCACGCACATGTATTTAGTTCTCCGCGATCAATCAATCTAAGTTACTGTGACGTACCTTTCGGATTACTCTTCTAGTTTCACACAAGTGACAAACCCACACAAGTACGGGGAGCTCATCGGACTGACCTACTTGGCGCCCTACCTGGCACACCCTTCGAAGTTACTCAACAAGACCCGAGCCCGTGTAAGGCTTAGCATAGCAACGGTACGGTTGCGAGTCGATACTTAAGGCTTTATTGGTGTTTGCTCTTGAGAGGCCGAATCCAGCCCTCTCAGCGCAAATCGTTATTCTACTGAATAACAAAAGTGAGTTCTACCAACTGTCCAAACACTAATAGTGCGACCAGTTAGCGAGTGCGTAACAATTTATACCAAAATAGGTGCCCACTGGGTACCCAAATAGGTTTTGGGTTATCATCTATAACCTATTACCCATTCATAGGTTATAGAATTAGACCTAAAACCTATTTTAGGTTAGGTTGGGTTGGGTTAGGCCTGGGTTAAGTAGGTTCTGGTATAACGGACCAGGCCTGAGGAGATATTATATAGTGTTATATAACCTTTTCCTACAGGAAAATAAGGTAAAAGCTTATATAGACAACTCTTCTTTAAGATTATTATAAACAGTATACAGGCCTAGCCCTAATTAAATAATTATCGCTATAGCCCTTTATATATAATAATCTTCTGATTTAATTAGTAATTATGAAATTATCTATAAAGCCCTAGAGGTCCTAGGTATATAAGGAATATATCCCTAAATTACTATCTATCTAATACTAATTTAACTATAAAGTAAAAGTCCTAAAGTCTTAGGTATATAAAGAATATACCTCTAAATTACTATTAATTTAATACTGATTTAATAATAAAGTAAAAGTCTCTGAATATATAGCAATAGCCTATTGAGCCTAATGGAACCTCATGGAACCTGATCGATAGTGGCAAACTATCTGGATGCTGTGGCAACTCTGGCCATCTGCCACCTACATAATTGACTCTGCCACCTACATAATTAACTATGGTGCTAACTATGGCAACCCATATAATCAATTACTATTCGATGCTAATCATGATTAATACATTATGACGACTTATTGTCGTGTGACCATTATAATTACTAATAATGGTGGCCTGAGGCCTGCTAAACATCAGGGATAAATAGCATCTCAATCTCCTGCAATTCTAATGAGATACACATCCATGCAATACATCAATCATCCTATCTATTACCAACCAACAGCTTCTTATTGGATAATCTGATCTACCATTACTTCCCTGAGCCTAGTAAGACGTATAGTCTTATAGCTACCTATATAGGTATAATAGAGAAGGAGAAGAAAGAGGAGGAGGATATAGTAGATTTAATTTTAGTAATTTTAGAGCTTATTCCCTCGGTAACAGCTATAATCTTCTTGATTACTTACTGTATTTTTAGGATAGCGGGGTTATTAGTACCCTACTAGGCGCTGATAGTAAATTACTTAATAGAGGTAATAAATCTGATAATAAACTAGTCTAAGAGGAAGTTTAGCTTATTCTATCAGATATATTTAAGAGCCTTGTAGGCCCCCTTAGTAATCTCCTCTATTAAGAGAGGCTTAGTGGTAGGGGTTATAGTAGAATTAGTATATTCGTCTAATTCTGCTATTGCAGGCGCATAAAATTTTTATTATTTTTCGCCGGTCGGGATATATAGAATCAGCATCCGGCAGTGCTACACCAACAGCTGCTATCTTGACTAGGGAAACCCTATATCAAAATACAGCTACCGATGCAATAGATCAAATAAATGTATCTAGAAGCCCGTAGGACCTCTGGTTATTGAGCTAGAGCAGTAAGTCGATTTCGCCAAGAGATAGTTGTTCATTATTATTTAGTTCTATCTACTATTATCAATATATTGCTTTTTTTATAAGTTTTTGTTTAGTTTATTAATTAATTATGAGAGTAATACTAAATTAATCTATATCTATTTTTCTATTTTATATAACTAAAAATAGAGAATAATACAAATCTAAATATACTCTAAGAGGCAGGGCTAACTATCTACCTGGGGCTGCTGATCGATGTGATCCCACCCCTGGAACGTGTTTTAAATACGCTGCGCCTATATAGTAGGGATGCGATGAATAGTACTGATTATATAGGCGTTGACATATCCTGGTTGTACCGTATATTGGCATTTCTGGCAAATCAACACCCAGAAATCGGTATCGACATAAAAAATGTCGTAGACATTATATTCGTAGACTATTGTCGATATATAAAAATATATCGACGGTTGATGATGTACATACTGGGGAATGGTACAGCCTCAATGTCCTGGGATCGGGCTTAAAATCAAATGGGATGATAATGGGGGAACTCTGAATCTACCCCTGAAAATTCAAAACAAAAAAACAAATTCTGTTGCTAAATTGTATGTGGTGGTTGGCTACCGATGATGGTGGTGACTGGTCACGGTCGGCAGGTGGTGGTTACCCTATCAAAAAATCGCACTACTTTTAAACCATGAAAAACAATACTTAATATAATCTGATTGGGCTTAAATTTAGCTGGATAATTAAACCTATTCTGACTTACAACATACTTAATTTTGAGGAACCTACAACCCTATTATGTATACTCGATTGGGGGGGGGGGTGTGAAGGTTAATTCGAATGGACCTTGTCTTCACTTTTTTCCCCATGCTTAACAAACCCTAATTAACTCGAATGGGGCCCATCCGAGTTGCCCCCATGGGATAGGGTCCGAGACACTGATGCAACTCGGTGACCTCATTCTCGCTAACCACGTACGTGTTTTGGTTTGCTCAAGTTTGACAAAATATTGAATCAAAATCATAGCCCGGGTCTCGAGTTCACTATGGCGAAAGCTGGATGCGCAACCCTGAGTATGCTTCACGAATAATTATGAAAATTAATCTCTAGACACGCATAGCGAATTGCTTCAGATACAGATAGTCAGACATATTCTGGTCAACCGTTTTGCGAATCAGAGCGGCTGCCTCTTCGCCATACTTCGCTCGCCAATCTGAATCAAATTCCTCCTCGGATTTCGGAGCGCGTTTCTGTAATTTCATCAGTTAGAATTTTTTTCGATGTTTTTCCAAAGCAAACAATTTCAGCTTACACAAGTCCTCGCTGTGAGACCCTTGGATTCGAGTGCATCATCATGGAAGCCGCGCCATTTTTCAAACTTGCCCCTCGCCACCTCATGGTCGACTTCTCTGTCCCACTGCAACATTCCTGGATCATACTGTAAGCCTACGCTCTTACAAAATGCCTCGATGGTCGCTGCCGGTGCTTCCAACATGTCATCCGCGTCGACAACGCATATCTCATGGATTGTCAAGTCTCCTTCGGCATCTGGGCCGTTCAAGTCGGGCCGCATTGCTATCCGCGGCCCGACCAAACCGGTATACCTCAGATAATCGAAATGACGTCGGAGCTCGCCATAACCGGACTCAAGAGGATCGTAGTAGAACTTTGTGATATCGTGTAGAGGTGGTATACAACACCGGTAGTAGGACGGCACGCTATAATGCGGATCGCGAATGAGAAATGCGAAATGGAACTGTTCCTGAATCTCATGCGGCATCACCGTGGGATTGCCAGACTCGGCCAAGATTGGGTATTTGCTCTGTTTCTTTTCTCCATTGCCATTGGTTGCTGCGTCTCCGATATGGCCATTGAAGACATTTTGTAAGGATGGTGCGATACTAGTCGGCTTCTGGTCGGGCGCAAATAGGTAGTAATCGATGTCTTTGATGAAGACTCGCTTTCCCTGTAAATGAGTCAGCAAAGCTTCCTTTATGCGAACGCAGGAATGCGGTTATGAGTGTATCATCGTGGGGTTTGCGACATTTCATGCAAATATCTGATCGTTCCAGAGCCGTAATTCAGGCAGGGTGTCTTTGTGGGGTCGAGGACCATACCTTTGAAGCTTCGTGCTTGATGCCTTCCAGGACTGAGCCGTAGGTAGACTCGTTGAATCCGCTTCTAAACCGTACCTGTTCATCTGCATATCTAGCAGAAAGTCTCTCTGGACCGTAGTAGAAAGCGTCGCCAAATGGTTCATGGAAACATGTGATAGTATCGTGCTGAGTCATAAACACGCGCTCGAACGCCGTAGAGCATGCTCGAGGGTGAACAGCCACGAAGATCGGTTTGTCAGACATCCTTGCAGATTCCCGAGCCTCACGATCACTGAGGTTGTAATGGCGTGACAGGAAATAGAAATTTTATAAAAGAGCATTCGACACCGCCGAACACGCAGGTAAAAGCAATGGCACCCAGATGAAAGAACCAAGGAAGCGTCACTGTGGGTCGATTTTGGTGTTGACCCACATGGAACTCTATCTATCCGTTTCGGCTTCCTCTTTGGGAGTCCCGGGGAAATTGGTGCAAATTAGTGGAAATGCGCCAAAACAGGATTTTGATGAGGTTATAGCCAGTTATAACACCTGCCCACCTGCCATTAGACCAAAAAGTGCGCACACACAGTTTAGTCCCTGTACGGTGGTATTTTTGCCTTGACATAATCAAATCATTGACCAATAATAATGCAGGGTTTCATAGAAAGCCCCCCCCCTCCCCGGTCATCTGAACCTTACGCTTCGCTGACTTGCAACAGTATGGAGAACTGATGCCAAGTATAAGACGATTCAAAACTGCTTCACAAAAACTCCCATCATCTGCAATTAGCAGACTGAAGACCTAGCTTGCCAAAAGTACCTTCAGTTGTGGCCACTTTATTATGAGCTTGTCAAGAGACTAGCTGGGGGTGAGACTATACGTGGAGGGCTGGTTACTTTAGATGAATACCTTGATCCATCGGATGAAAATTACCGCGCTGAGCTTCGGAAGATCGCTCGCCAGCTTCAGCAACTCCTCTCTGGTCACGTCACCTTCGCCGTACAAACTATAGATGCATTTATTACCAGAGTGTGAACACCAGACTCGTTCACGCCGTCTTCTCAGATAGCAAGAGGCTAATCTGAGTAGGCTTCAACAGAGCCCACGTCGGCCCAGGACCAACCTTGCCCAAGCCACGGATGGATTGAGCCTTGGGTTGGTCCCTTTGGCCCATAATGGGCCCTGGGTCCCCAGTTGGGCCACAAATAGTACAAAAATGCCTAGATTCCCTGAATGCATAATTTATGCGATTTCTGGCCGTAATATTGAGTATTTCCTTAACATCTCCCCTTCTGAAAGGAAATATTGACGCAATTAGGAATATGATCATAGCCTAAATTCAAGAGATATAGATTAAGTATTTATCATTGATTAATGATACTCAAAGGCGTTATCCTCTCGACTCTTACGCTTCTGTTCTGAAGCCCGTAGCTGGGTGTTGTTATCTGGCAAGTTGGGCTCAGTGTGATCCTCGATAGTAGGAAAAGGAGCCACTTTTGTCACTATTTTATTATTCAATTCATTATTTGATTCCTCAGTATCACTGATTGGTTTCACTTCACCCTCATCAAGCCTTTTGCCCTTCTCTTCCTTTGCCGCTTTAATCTCTTCTTGAGAGAAGAATTTCTCGAGCCGCTGAAACTCCTTCTCTTTAAGTTCAAATCTGAAAGTATAAAGGAACATCATTAGCTCTTGAATTATTTTAAATTCTATCCTCCCTCGTCGATAATGACAGATATCTCGAGCAGTGTTAAATAATCATTCAACACCAGCACCTGTTGCTGGAACTGAGAGGACATATCGCGCAAGAGCTGCAATCGCCGAAAGCGGCCTTGATTTTCTCCCCAGAACGCAAGACGCTCAATGTCAATTATATCTTTAATTAGTTAATGCTGTATAAAAGTGAGTTCGTTTAACATACTACCGTCAAGAAATTGTATCAGTTCATCAGCGGCTGCCTTTGGCTGCTTTGTACTTTTATTCAAAATCTTATCAAGCTTTGAACTTTATCTGACTGTTGTTTGAGTATAGTTCTAGAACTAACCTAAATTAAAATATCTCTAATTTATATCTAAATCTTTCTTACTTTAGAGATAAACCTTATCTGTTCTTTTTAAAATAATAATAATAATCTAAATAATATATTTATCAGAGAGATTAGCCTATCTAATCTATCTATTAGAATTTCTCTAAATAATTATTTTAACTATAGTAAGCTAGGCTATTAGATAAATAAATATTATCTACTACTAAGAGCCCTAGGGGTAAAGATCTAGAAAGCTTACTTAAGATCTTAGTATTACTATAATAATACTTAGTTAAAAGACTTAGAAAAGATATCAGAGTTAAACTAGCTACTATAAGTTCTGACTTCTAGCCTTAAGTTAAAATAAAAATAAAATAATAGAATAATTAAAGCCTTACTAATTTATAAAAATATATAGAAACTAAGCTTATATTTTTATAGTTATTTAAATATCTAAAAAGTTTAGCTTCCCCTAGAAAAGAAAATTAATAATAAATTAAGACTAAATCTTCTCTAAATTATTAGTATTTTAGAATATATTTAAAGTATAGAACTTTAAGATTATACTACTATAAAAAAAGACTAACTATTTAATTAAGCTTAAAGAAGATATATTACCCCTATATAGCCTAATCTATTTTTTTATAAGTAGAATTTATAGAGTTATAGAAGTATCTTAATAAAAACTTAGTAAATAGTTAAATTAGACTATTAAAAACCTAGCTAGTATACTTATCTTATTTATATCTAAAAAAATAAAAGACTATATCTCTATATTAATTATTAAAGATTAAATAAAGTTTCTATTAAAAACTAATATTCTCTATTCCTTATATTAGAGATTTTTAACTATCTTTTTAGGGTTAGATACCTTAATAAAATTAATATATTAGATATATATATACTATTAAATTTATGTTTAAGAAAAAAAAATAGGAAATAGCTTTTTTATATAGAATATAGCTATTTTAAATATACAGTTATATTATTTAGCCTTACTAATATACTAATAAAATTTAAAAGCTATATTTATACTATACTTTAGGGTCTTTTTAATATTATTTATATTATATATCTAGATAATATTTTTATCTTCTCTAAAATCTATAAAGAATATATAGAATATTTTAGTCTTATATTTAAAAATCTAAAAAAGCCTAACTATTTATTAAAACTTCTAAATATTATTTCTATAAAAAAAAAGTTGAATTTCTTAGCTTTATTATTAGTTAAAATAGTATCTCTATAAGCCTAGAATAGATTAAAGCTTAGACCTTGCCAAAGCCCGGGCCGGGCCTCAGTTTTAGGCCCGAGCCCACAGGCCGGGCTTTTTTAGTAGCCTGCGGCCCGGGCTGCAGGCCGCTAGGGAAGCCTGTAGCCTATAACTAGCGGCCTGCAGGCCTAAGTTTTAGGCCCGAGCCTATAGGCCTACAGCCCGTAGGCTGGGCCGCGGGCCGCTAAAAAAGCCCGGCAGGCCTGTGACCTACCTATTTAGGCGGGTATCCTAAGCATAACTTAGCATAAATATAAAAATTTTAATGTATTTCTTAGCGTAGTATTATCATTGTATTACTATAGGTAGTTAGTACCTTAGGATTCAGCTGAAAGATAAGCTTATAATCACTATAGCCAGTTTGTTATAATCGCCATAGCCAAATTAGTGCAATCCCCATTACCAATTTGTTACAATTACCATAGCCAAATTGGTGCAATCCCCATTGCCAATTTGTTACGATCGCCATGGCCAAATTGGTGCAACCCCCATCGCCAATTTGTTACGATCACCATGGCCAAATTGTTACGATCGCCATGGCTAATTTGGTATAATCCCCATCGCTAATTTGTTACGATCGCCATGGCTAACCCGTGCTTAGTACTAGTATTGTCAGATTTTAGGTATTTTATGCTTAGTGAGCACTATCTATTAGTGATTACCTATCTAGTGTTGTCAATTCTGGTATTATTACCTATGCGTGCTTAGTACGTATGCCTAGTACGTGTGCCTAGAATATAATGATAATAATTTATAAATATTTACCGACGCGTTTTATATACTAAATATTGATATTTTTGTTTAAAATTTTATTCATATAATAGTAAGAATATATTATATATATTATAAGTTTGAAGTACTTCTGACCGGTAGAAATTAAAATATTATAGTTTTAGTTATTTGATGATTTTGAACATGAATATATATATTTGACACAGAGGGTAGCACTACTACTATTCTTCTCAAAATTCTTAGAGCTTCGGCTATAGGCCTAAGCGGGGCATAGGCCCTAGGGGCATAGGCCCTAGGGGCCCACTTCTGAACCAATTAAATAATAGTACTAATTATATTATTATAATATTATTGGTTAAATAAAGCCACTATACAATAATACACTATAATGCATGACACCAAGGCTATATAGGCAATGGTTACCGAATACCCCTTTTTTGCCTACAAAATAATAATCAACGGCCAGCGATAGCTATGGCGATCGTAACAAATTAGCGATGGGGATTATACCAAATTGGCCATAGCGATTGCAACAAATTAGCTAAGGCAATCGTAACAAATTAGTTATGGCAATTGTAACAAATTGGCCATAGGGATTACACCAATTTGGCAATAGCGATCGTAACAAATTGGCGATGGGGATTGCACCAATTTAGCCATAGCGATTACAACAAATTAGCGATAGCGATTACACCAATTTGGCCATAACAATCGTATCAAATTAGCAATGGGGATTGCACCAATTTAGCTATGGCGATCGTAACAAACTGGCCATAGTAATCATAAGCTTATCTTTCAGCTGAATCCTAAGGTACCAACTACCTATAGTAATACAATGATAATACTATGCTAAGAAATACATTAAAATTTTTATATTTATGCTAAGTTATGCTTAGGATACCTTCCTAAATAGGCAGGTTACAGGCCTACAGGCCGCTAGCCACGGGCTACGGGCTTCCTTAGCGGCCCGGGCTTTGGCAAGGTCTATATAGTAGATTAGATTAGAATTATATAGAAGGTATTTAAGATAGTCAGAATACTAATATAGCTAAATAAATATTATTTAAAAGATCTCTAGTTATTATTATTTCTATAAAAGAAAACAGAAGATACTAAAATTATTCTTAGATTAGGAGTAAGCTATAGTAAAAGAAAATTCTATAAAAATGAAAAGAAAATACTAAGACTGCTATAAGGATAATAAGAAAATAGTTAAATCTAGGGCTTAATAGCTAAGGCTAAGTAAAATTATACTTAGTAACTAAAAATATAGTAATTAGGAGACAGTATAGGATAGACTGTAATCAGAAGTTATCTATTCTTCTTAAGAAGGCGAGTTATATAGGCTAGATTATTAGTAATTAAGGCTTAGTCCTATATAAGGCCCTTAATAACAGTATAAATTTAGTCCTACTTAATATATTAGAAGTCTATAAAGTATATATTATTAAGTATAGAGATATAGAAGCTTAAGACTAGAGTAAAGATACTAAAGATATAGATAACTAATATAAAGTAGACCAGAAAAAGAAAAGTAAAGATATTAGATATATAACAGTATACAGAAGTACTCTAATATAGGCTCTTAGGATAAGAAAAAATAACTATAGAAGTAGAAGTAGTAGATAAAGCTAGAATAAATATAATTAGAGTAGGATTAGTATAACTAGATTTAGTAAGGTCTTTATTATTATACTTCTTTAGCATAGGATAAGCTAGGTTTATAGTATATAGAGTATTAATAAGATACTATAGAAGTCTAAGTAGTTATTTATAAAAGAAGTAGCGGGACTAAGTACTACTAAAAGTATAGTTTATATATCTACAATTAATAGTAATAATATAGATAACGTAATTCCCGCCCGAGTGAAACACCCGCCCGAGTGAAACACCCCACCAGAAATCGCGCGTTCTGACCAACTTATATGCTTCAACCATCTACCATACCACCAAAACGCACTGAATCCTGGCAAAAAGCGACCGAGAAAGAGGGCAGGGTTCTATTAGCCTTGCAAGCTATTCAAAAGGGTTAATTCAAATCAATTTGCGCAGCTGCGAAGCAATTTGGTGTATCTTATGTTACCTTGTCTCGACGGGCGAATAGCCTACCCTTACGCGTCGATATACGCCCAAACGGCTATAAATTAACCTAATTAGAGGAGGATTCGCTTACTGAGTAGATTCTCTCTATGGATATGCGTGGAGCAGCGCCTAGGCCGGCTACTGTAGGAGAAATGGCTAATATCCTACTGGCTGCACACAGTAGCCAACCTCCGCCTACTGTTAGCAAGAATTAGCCATCTAAATTTATTCAACGTCGTGATGAGCTATATACACGCTACTCAGTACGATACGACTACCAGTGTACACTAAACGAAGACCCAAAATCACTACGAAAGTGGTTTTCTACTGTACAATGCGTTATTGATAAGAACGGTATTCAACCGGAGGATATCTATAACTTTGATAAGACAGGCTTTGCAATAGGCCTTATATCCTCACAGAAGGTAGTAACACAGGCAGAATACTACGGTCAGAGACGTCTATTACAACCGGGAAATCGTAAATGGGTTACTGCTATCGAAACAATATGCGCAGATGGCTATTCGCTACCGCTATATATGATCTTTAAGGGCAAAGTAGCTATTACAG